ACACGAAAGCTGCATATTTCAACAAAACTTGAACAGACTTCATTTCACCTCTACAAGCCAGTGAGTTGGTAAGCTAAGCCGCTTTTACACGCATCCACAACATGACGCAGAAACACGTGTTCCAGTTACGACATGTCGAGAGCGTCTGATAAGACTTTTAATCAAACACACTCCAATTCTAGTTAATCAGAAGTTTAAAGGTCAAATCATGTTTAAACCGACATGACTATCTGAGCTGAGGTAACCTTCAAAACGCGTGTGGATTCCCCTGGCAACCAGCTGGGGGAATCCCTCATTATTACGTCATCGTCGAGCCAGAGAAAATCGTCTCAGGTTCCGCCCACGCAAAGGTCACAGGCCCGAGACAAATCTGGTTATAAGAGAGCATTTGCACATCGAACATTCACGCAGTCTTACACCGAACGCGCCAGAACTGTTATGGCGTTCGTACCCTTCCTAACTTGTTCCATATTGTCCTGTGGCGGTGCAGACCCTGACTAAACAATCGGTCTCCTAATAATTAGCGTCATTATTCCGTGACTAAAGTCTTTACATTTAAACTACAGTGAAGGACGGGTCCGGCTGTGGCTTGAAGAACAGGAAGTTTAATTTAGTATTTAGCTGTCCGTCGTCTGTGTAGTAACGCCGTGTGGACTTGCAAGCAGACACCACCGCTTCGAAGGAACGTACCGCCTCCATCTCGACGCTGACGTCAACCTACAAGTCACAGGACCAACAACGTCTTGGGGGCAATGAGAACCTCAGATCTCATTTCACTTACTTTCTTCGTGTATTTAAAAATTCTCTCTCGACTGCCTTCTTTCTGGCCCCGAGCGATGTTTCTCCACAGAGGCGGTATTGTCTCCTTGACAACGTGTTGAATTTTAAGAATACGCAAATTAAGTACAGTAACAACTAAAAGTTCTACACAGCGCAACAACCCAGAAGACAGAAATCTTCAGACTAAAAGTTCGTTTGCAACGGCTGTGACTTATGTCCATTTATGTACGAATTGGCTT